CATTAAGGCTACAGATGTCTGCTCAGATTATGCATTTCAAAAGCTTTCTCTGTGATGAACTGTGAAACGCCAGGCTTGAGCAGAGGATTGAGAAAGATAAAATAATAGCTCCTCATCCCTGTGTCTGGCAGACTTAATGCAGTTGCTCTCAGATCTTTCTAAAAACTTCGAGGCAACGGATTTGTTCACAGTCAATAAGATAGCCCTGCGAGCACAACCCGTTGTGTTTCCTTTATCAGTCTTTTCCTAACTTATTCACAAAGCTCTTTACACTGCAAAAATCTCTAATCTGCGGATACAGCATTTCCCAGATAACTGGGGTTTAATAGGCATAAGTGGCAGTGATAAACTGTTTATATGTGCTGTGATTAGAAAACATAGATCTTCATAAAGGGGAGAGGGGAAGCACGAAGAATAAATACTCCATGAATTTAAACCTGAAATTGGTGAATTTACATTTAATAGCAGAACAGGCAGAACTGTTTAAACCTGACTGGATAATACCTGCTGCCTCTGGGAGAAGATGACTGAATTATCTAGAAATTCAGTTCAGTGACTTCTATGATGTGTAAACATTTGCTGAAAGTTACTAGAGCAGAGCTGAAGAGTTGTGGCTCTTTCTTCCTAAAGTAGTGGTGCGTGTCCAGCTAAGATTTTTCAGGTGTTCTTATATTTCCCCTTCTCCCTACTGCAGCGTGCACTAAATGTGTAGAGGTTCCTCAGGCAGTCCTATTTAGTGCTGTGGTTTAACCCCAGCTGGCAGCTGAGCCCCACACAGTCCTCCTGGTGGGACGGGGTAAGAGTTAAAAGGGTAAAAGTGAAAAAGCTTATGGGTTGAGATGAGGACAATTTAATGGGTAAAGCTTTATATGCTGAGCATGACATGGTGTGCAGTATCCCTTGGGTCAGTTTGGGCCAACTGTCTCCTCCCAACTCCTTGTGCACCCCCAGCCTGCTCCTGGTGGGGTGGAGTAAGGACCAGAAAAGGCCATGACTTTATGTAAGCACTGCTGAGCAGGAGCTGAAACATCCCTGTGTGAACAAGGCTGTTCCCAGCACAAATCCAAAACACAGCCCCATACCAGCTACTGTGAAGAAAATTAACTCTGTCCTAGCCAAGATGAGCATAGCTAGGTACTCATTATTCCCTTCCACATCTCTGTATACTCACCTGGCTCTGTTACCAAGGAATTACTAAGAAGTTACTCATTTCAACATGATGAGATATATAGTAAGACAAAGAAAAAACTTGATGTAAAAGTCTCTTGTGTGCAGAACTGTCTCATAGTTCTGCTACTTTTGGTTTAGCTGTGCTATAGGGCAGTTTTCTTGCCCAGAGCATTTTGGAAGACTGTTAAGAGCAGTTAATTTCTTCTCCTTGAATGGGAAGTGCCTTCTCTGGGGCTATAAGCCAAGGTAATGTTACTTTCATCTTTTGCAGATTTAGATTTAAAGCCTTTGCTGGAAAAGGTAGGTTAGATGCAAGTGTGTCTGTCTTGGTTTAAACTACACCACAGCAGAAGTAAAATGTCACTGGACTTCATTTGTAAGCATGTTTTGCTAAGGGACCTTACGATTGTACCATCTTGGCCCAGAAGGCAAGAATAAGATTGTTACAGTGGTGGAAGAACACTTTATTTCAGTGAAAACTGAATCTTCCTAGGCAGAACTCCATCTCTGAGATGGGGTGCATTCTGTGTTCCTGTAAAGGTATAAAGACTGTGCATGTTTAGGGAGCTGGTTTTTTTGCATGGGGAGGGAGAGTGATTCCATGCAAAGTATTCAGTGCTGCCCAGGGCACAAGAAAGAGCACTAGATGGGTAAAATGTTTTTTTTTTCATCCTCACAGGGTCATAGAGTCACAGCATATTTTGGGTTGGAAGGGGTGTTAAAGCTCATCCAGTTCCAACCCCCTGCCACGGGCAGTGACACTTTCCACTAAAGCAGGTTGCTCCAAGCCCCTGTGTCCAACCTGGCCTTGAACACTGCCAGGGATGGGGCAGCCACCGCTTCTTCGGGCAACCTGTGCCCCTGTGCCAGCGCCTCAGCACCCTCACAGGGAAGAATTTTTTCCTTATGTATATGTAGTACCCCTTATATATATCCGTACCCCTCAGTGCAGCTCCATGTTGGACACACACAGCCTAGAACTAGCTGAATGGATGGAGATGTTTATTCAGATCCCAAAAGCAATATTACTGTGTTGGCAGGTTCAAAGGCTGCACCAGATAGCATTATTCAAAACAGCACGTTCCTGGATCTCATGGTTTGGAGATCTCCACATGGACCTGTGGTCCGTAGTGTAGGCATGCCCTTAGCTTGCTCTTGTTCTCAGAGAGACATTGAACTATGTGGGAATGCAAGCAGCAGATCTAAAAACCTGAGAAGGGATAGTGTTACTGGCAAAGAAATGATGTTTCATTGGCTGCAGTAATCCCAAAGCTCCAAATCAGCATGTTAATTTCAAATTTACCCAAAATCTCTGCAAGATATGTGGGTTGTTGCGTGCAAAGAACCAAATAAAATAGCTGTTTTGTTTCAGACTGTCCTAAAGCTGGTCATCAGATACCATCTGACTTTTGATCAAGTATTTTCTTCTTCAGCAGTCTGGTTAATCTGTTTGGATTTATGGAATTTTTTTGTGCAGGACCTCAAAGATGCTCTCCTGAACAGTTGGATAACCTTGAAAGTTTTGGCAATGTGTTGACATACAATTCAGTCCTATCACTTTTCTTCTCTTTCAATAAAATGGAGATTATAAAGAGAAAGGACAGTGCTGCTGTGGAATGATCCCATGGTAACTCATGAAGTCTCATCGGCGTGCAAAGGCATCCTGTTCTCACTCTTATGCCAATGCACTGTAACCAATGAGCTAAGCTGAATGAAACTCCTGTGGTATTTTATTGGCATGTCATAATATATTTACCTTCCCTGCAGTGAAGAATTGCAGGTAGTGCATGAATCAGTTCTTGCAAATAAACTTGTTGATGTTCACATAAAAATGACCTGCCTGTCACTATACTCCCTAGGCTAGCCCTTGTCCATGATATGAATTCATTTCTCAGGTGGTGAATTTTGGGAGTGTATTAAAGAAGCCACAGCAATATGTGATGTCTGTAATTAAAATTACTAATGCATGTAAATTCCTTTCCTCCTTTCTGGTTTGATTTACATTCTTCATGCAGACCTTGCTCACTTTGATTGAGCCAGAGACCTCGTGTTGACTGGTAAACAATGATTTTTGCTCTCTCTCCAGCACAATTGCACAGGGAAATAAATTTAGTAAGGATCCTTGCTGAGATGTGTGACCTTAGGTATCAAGAAATCTGCATGTCTTGCAGCTGACCTGCACAGCTCTAGTCTGTGGTTGGAGTGGCATCATCAGTAAGACAGTGAAACTATTTAAGAGTGCTGGATTTAGTAGTCAGTACCAGGACCGATAACCATAGAATCACAGACTGGTTTGGGTTGGAAAGGACCTTAAAAGCTCAACCAGTTCCAACCTCCTACCGCAGGCAGGGACACCTTCCACTAGAGCAGGTTGCTCCAAGCCCCTGTGTCCAACCTGGCCTTGAGCACTGCCAGGGATGGGGCAGCCACAGCTTCTCTGGGCACCCTGTGCCAGCGCCTCAGCACCCTCACAGAGGAGAAATCATGTTCGTTCAGTTCTACTACAGTCTTTCCCATTTCATTCCTTCTTACTGAAGTACCTATGACTTAAAATAGAGATGTTTAAAGGATTAGCTATTTTCTGTTGTTACCTTACCTGACTAATGCGTAAGTTATTTTTAGGGATGCTGGAAAATGTGGTTTGGTGTTTAACCATGGAAGTGAACTACCAAAATAAAATACTGGGAAAAATACCCAAAGCATCTCAATGCAGTACAGTAGGTGCTTGAGGAAAGCTCTTCTATTATATTTGGATACAGTTGGTATATATTTCATTGTTTTGTTGCTAGAGGAATTTGTAAGTGGCTCAGTGGCAGTTCTGAGTGATCAAAAAGCAGGTTTAGTTGATAGGTGAAAGAAAAGAAAATAACACTTTAAGATTTACTGTCCCAGCCTTCTGCAGCAGGAAATTGAGTTTGGATGGATAGTCCTCTTGTAATTGTATGGATGTTGGAGGTCTAGGGGTTGGGTTTGTTTTGGTTGGTTTTGACTTGGCTTCTCCTTTTTTCTTGAGATAGATGAATGTCTGGTCAGAATAGTCCTTTTCTTTTTGAGTCTGTAAGGAGTTATAGCCTGTGCAGAAATAGAAATTATCCCTCCCCAGTAAAGAAAATGGTGCTCAAAGGCTGTATAATCTTGTGAACACAGGGCTGCAATGGAGCCAGGAGAACATGTTTCTGTGGTGCTGGCTCCGGCCTCAGATGCGGCAGAGTTGCATCAGTGTGTTTATGCCATTTTGCTTCTCTGAGCCTCTTTCCTCCTTTCCGTTTGTCTCAATTTGCTGTGTTTTCTTATAAGATCTGGATGGATCTTGAATTACATACAAACATCGTCCAGTCATTGTTTCAGTACCTTTTGCTTCTCTGGGCCCAAAGCCCAGGCAGGAATTCCTTCTCCTGTATGACAACTGAACGAATCCAACTTTTCCACCTTGGATTCCAGTGTGCTGTGCCAGGTACAGCTAGCTTACATGCTTATGCCTCAGACCTGGGTGTCTTACCTCTGGAAACAAGAAGTTATGACTTCTTGGTAAGGATGGGGCAGATACTCCCATGCTTCCTGCTGCAGCATGTGATTTTATCTTTCTCAGATGGTCTCGCCCTAGTAGTTTATTTCCTGGCATTAACTGCGGGTGAGGATGGACTGAGTGACAGTGAGCCAATCTGAGTTGCATGCATACACTTTTCATAAGCTGATTTTTCACAGTATGAAGAAAACTTGAAAACTTGCTTTTGTCTCACGGTGCAATAGCAGAAAACACAGCGTAGGTTAAGAGGAGTTTTATATTAAACATCTCACATCTCAGACTTCCTTTTCCTTTTGTCTTGCAGAGGCAGGCAGTGGCCAAGATTATGTGACCTCAGAAAACCAGCTGCTCTACTACCCTAGCATTACCTACGCTATCATCGGCAGCTCCGTCATTTTCGTCCTTGTGGTGGCCTTCCTTGCCTTAGTCCTGCATCACCAACGGAAACGCAACAATCTGATGACCTTGCCAGTGCATCGACTGCAGCACCCTGTCCTGCTGTCCCGGCTGGTGGTCCTTGATCACCCGCACCACTGCAGTGTCACCTACAACGTCAACAATGGGATCCAGTACATGTCCAGCCAGGCCTACCACAGGCCAGTGGACCTGGACTCTCCACCGTCCTATTCGGAGGCTGTGCTCGACCAAAGGTATGCACGGAAGCGAATTCCGTGCTCACCAAAGTTTAATACTACTGCTTGTAGCTCTGTTAATCTGTGCTTTTGCTCCCTATTTATTGAGAGCAGCCCTGAGGAGGACTTGGGGGTTTTGGTTGATGAGAAACTCACCATGACCCGGCAGTGTGCACTTGCAGCCCACAAAGCAACTGTGTCCTGGGCTGCATGCATCACCAGGAGCATGACCCGCAGGTTGAGGGAGGGGATTCTACCCCTCTACCCCAGTCTGGTGAGAACCAACCTGCGGTCCT